GACTTCCTCCTTTGCTCCCGTCCCGTCATAATTACTACGGCCACTCAAGATTGCAGCCCAACAATTTTCAAACTACCTGCGTTGATCCAGCTTACCATCAGATGAAAACAACCTACTGAGCCAATTAGTAGGTAGGGTAGGGCCATACCACCTCAAACCTATGCTCCCAATGACAACTGATAACGGCCCTTTAATCTGTTGGTAACATTTGAGCTGGTCAGTAATACATGAAACAACCTTTGTGTCTTGATCATTTACATCCAGTTTATACTCATGTTCAAACTACACTCACTACTGTTCATCTAAACCATGTGTAATTGCCTTTTTACAATATTATGTACACAGACTACTTTATCTTGTAGCTCTTCTTTTTTTCTCACTATTCCCGTTTTTCTATTGGCTGCTTTTGAAATACACTGTTTGTGCCTCGAGTACTCCATTATTAAGTTTTGCCTTGTAAATTTGATGCCATTGCCTGTTTACACATCCAGTATATAAGAAACACTATTAGCATTCTTTTGGAATGATATTAGTCCAGTACTCACTTTTACTTTTATTGCTTTGTTCATGTTACCAAAATATCCGTCTCTTTAGCGGCTTAATGCTACACTATGTTGACCTGTTTGGTACTGGATGGGTAGCATCAGAGCTTTTACTGTGAAAGCTGCTGTAGCTGCTGCTGGAAACCAAGTTGAACAGAAACAGTAAAGTTGAGGGCCATTAAAACCAAAACAACCAGCTAAAAGAAGCTAAACCATTCCTTCACCATATTGTTGTCTCACAGATATTAAGGGTATAATTGTTCATACATATTTCTCCTTATAATAAACTACAAGTGATGCTTTTCACATTACATATTGTAATTTAACCTATTGTTCTCTTAAAAATATTGTTTAGTGCAGCTTTAAAGTTAGGAACAGTGGTAGTGTTAGGATTAGCAGGGAGCTAACAGTTGTACTGTTACGGTTAGCTGTATACTCACTTCGCTTGAGGCAACATGGTTGTGTCCCAAAGGCACAAGGCAGCCGGGGACAACAGTTGTCCGTGGTATGTGACACGGTGTTTGACCCAGCTCTGATGAGCCTGGTGACCGGCCATCACAAGGCTGTCATGATCATCAGTCATCTCTGTGTCTCTGCCTCAGCACAGCGCTACAGACTGTTGACTGGAGGACGAGGACATAAGAAGGCACTCAAGAATGACTCAGCTGAAAACACAACACCAACAAAACAATTGATAAACCCCCATCTCCTGCTTTATGACTGTAACAACTTAAAATCCATATTTGTTGTCTAAAAAAAAACTTCCCCCGGCTTAGCTGGTTTGCTGCTTTTACTTCCAATTTTCCATATTTTTACAAACTGTAACCAACAAGTAGTTGGTTTAGTCTAGTTCAGTATAAAGATGGGAGCAGGGAGAAACAGTTAGCCTAGCTTAATCAGAAGTGAAAGAAATAGTTTCAAAGGGTAAGCCGACTCTTCATTCCTCTCCCCTGCCTTCAGTCTAAGCTAGAACATCCTCGACCTCTCAACATTAGCAAACCGCTCAAAATGTCAGTGTTTCTTCGAATTAATAGTCCATCCAATTGTCCCATGGTACCTGCATGTGGTTGTTGCTAATTTAACTGCAGACTTGAAATTGAACTATTAGAGTACTGTAGGCTGCAATAAGAATGGAGGCGGTTGTACCCTAAACTTGTTGCCCTGTCTTGTAGCAGTTTCCTGTGTGAAAATCTAGTTTGAATACCTTTATTATTCTGATTTGCATTATTATATCTTTGGGGCCAGGTACAATTGATTTAGGCTGATAACATCAGTGTTGTATGCATTAATTCATATTTGCATGTGATCTGGACTGAGACTGAATAAATGTCAGTCAGTGCTCAAGGTGAAACAACCCTCAAGTGCTCACTTTTAACATTCAAAATTAATATTGAAAAGTTGATTTATTAGCCTCAAGGCTTTCACTGAATAATTGCAATAGTGACAGTGGTATAACTATTTTTTTACAAGACGCATTATTACACACTACTAGGAAATATGTGTAACCCTATAATCTAAATGTATACACTTGACAGGACAAGGAGGTGAACTTACAAGATTGATAACTACATACATGGGTATAAGCGATTGTGTGTGTGTGTGTGTGTGTGTGTTGGTAGGGATGGGCGAGGGCTGGCAGTGCTGGGCACAAGCTCAGATTGACGGTGGCTCCCTCCCACAGTCCTCTGTGCCTTGTACAAACACAGCCATAGTAGGAGAAGGGAACACACAACGGGCCTCTGTTACGGCTCCAAGGAAAGCACTCTGCACCTTCAGACGGTTCATTAAAAGGAGCATTCAATCCAAATCACTTCAAAACAAAGCAGAGGATCTGTGGAGAAGAGTGAGGGAGGTCAATCTACAGCGATTTTGATTTTAGGGGAACTTCTGGATTTCTGAAGCTGTGTTTCTGTCCATATTTAAAGCTTGGGAGCTAAAAGGGAAACTCCACTGATTTTACATATTCAAGTGTGTTTCCATGGGAAGTACTGTTAATGAGACACAAAAGTTGTATAAAGCCCTCAGTGTCTCCAAAGGGAGTTGTGTGAAGTATTTTAAAAGTCCTCAAGTGATGTCACTTGAGTCTGTTAGGTTCAAGAACCTCTCGAAACTATGGGAGAAACCACACTTGGTCCAGCCATGCCAAAAAGTCAGCCGGTTCCAATTATAATCAAAAGTATTTAATACTACAGAAGCTAAAACAATTGCAAAGTGAAGTACATTATTTACAGAATCTATGGAAATATTTACAGTATCAATATAGAAATATGATCTGCGGAAAAGCAGCCATACACACCACAGCCAGGAAGCTGGTTACCTGCCTGGATGAAATGAGATGAACAGGCCGAATCCCCTCTCAGAATTTCCTTATATAGTTTGTAAAAATTCACAAAATGTCCGCCTTTGTTTCTATTGGCTAAATCCAGCTAGCTCCTCCTTCTCGCATCAGCCAGCTGGAGGACCCTCGCGCAGGTGTGATGTTCCTTCTGCGTGTCCCTGTAATGCCTGTTTAGAAATCTTTGTCTGACCCTTGGCTATTCTTCACAGTTGAATACATTCAATGACTGTCTTTTATGGCTCAACACTTCTATGGTAAATATACTGTAAACATACCATACATCCGATAAGAATCTGCAACTCTGGCAAAGTCTTTGACAAGCTTTACAAGCATATTTGGTATAACCCAAGTACTTGTTAACATTTTACTAACCACCTCTAAGGTGCTATAAATCCTACTAGAAACACTTCTAATTACAAATCCTAAAACACACTTCTAAACCTAAATTTCCTACAGTCAGCATCAGTTGGGTCTGAAGAATACAAGTTTGAAAAGTAAAAAAAATCTGGAGGTGTGGAGTTAGAAAGAAGTGAGTTTAGCAGACCTCTGTAGCTGCTCATCTCCGCTCGAACCTTCAGGCTACGTTAGCCACTACTAGCATAACACCCCCATGCATCTCAAATAAAACTGGATACAGCGCTGGAGGCGGGGTTCTGTTCTTAATATGAAAGTTGCTCAAAAAAAAAAGTTCAACTCAAGAGTATAAAATGACCCAGATCTTCTGCCGATCTTCCGTAAAGAGCATGCTCACTAGCGTTTCCTTTAACCCCGCCTCCCAGCCACGCTGTCTCAGGCTCACTTGCAGGAGGAAGAAAAAGAACTCTGGATTTAGCTATTAGTGCATTTTACAATTTTTAAGACCTAATGATATAAATAAGGTATATTCAAGAGTTCAAGTGATTTACAAATATCTATTCCCCAATGTAATTCTACGGGGGGAAAGTATTTTAGGCCGAATAGCATCTTGTGACTGACCCGGAAATTGTAATTCCACATTCCATCCACAATGCCACGATGTATAGTTTGCTTAAAAAAGCCCCGTGCTCTTCCTGGGGGCTTGAACAAGCCCAAATCTCCCACCCAGCTGTGAACCGTTGACGTGCATTTTGACAAGAAAAAGAATGTCTGGAATAAAAAAAACAAAATTAAAAAAAAAAAGATGAGATCTCTGGATCCGCTGCATCGATTCTTTAATCAGTGTGGGACTCTGCTTTATTACAACATGAAGTATGATAACACTGGACTCACCGAAATAAATACATCCGTTGCTACAATGAAATCTGATGGGATTTGGAGGTCACACTGAAGTCAACAAACCTGAAATGTTTGATGTATGTGTGAAATGTATCCAATCCATGATTTGGATCCATTCCAAAATTGAATGGGTTCCTCCTTGGTCCATGCTACACCCTTCCACCAAATTTCATGAGAATCGGGGCTGTTGTTTCTCTGTAATCCTGAAGTCAAACACACACGCACATAAAAAACAAACACAACCTCCTTGGTGGAGGTAATAACGGAGTAAATTAAAAAGGCAGAGTTGGAGAGTTGTTTGAGAAGAACCTGGTTGTACAAACAGCGTGAGGCTCAGTTTGTGCTGGAATATTATATGTGTCATTCAGCAGCTTTTATCTGACATCCAAACATATTAATACCAACATAGGTAAGGGGCACAAATGTAAATAAAATAAAGAATTAATGATGGATTCAGTGTGTAAATCTGCCCATGCTGTTTCTTAGTCTTCACACAGACCTGCAGCTGGACATTAGTTATTAGTGACATCTTGTGGTCACTTGTTGTACCTGCTACCTGCTCATTTAACAGGGAAGTATCATGACAAATTCTGTTTCAGTGTTTGTGCACACATTTCTCACATATCCCACTAACTGTGAAATAAGTCTGTTTTTTGTTTCACCATCAGAAAACATGTGACTCAACAAGCCATTTAGATGTGGTGTCTGTTCACCAACGTTAAAAAGGACATACTGTGTAAATGTTGTGTTTTTTCAGATTGTTCTACTGCCCCCATGTGGCCAAAAATGAATGCATCTGACATCCAGTAATCCAGAAGGCAGTGAAGAGAAAACGAAAAAAAAAGAAACACTTCTGACTTACACAACGTTGCAAGTCAGAAGCTGGTGGGCCGTAGACGGTCTGGGGTCCAGCTGTGAAGGTCAGGGTGTTTCGGGAGTTGAGGTTCTGGCTCTGTGTGCGAAAGCGGGGCCCGTCAGCTCTAGTGGAGTGGAGATGGTGCAGATGGACTGGGAGTACTGAGGCTCCTCACAGCTTTCTTCACCAACTGTCAGTTCACTGAGGTGGACACCTTCCAGCTCCGCATAATGCGGACCAGAGAAGAGCCTTATCACCGCACAGACCCGGGGAACCTGCAGGACAGTATCCTTGAAGGTGATGATCACCACCAGGCCCACCAGCAGGTAACCTGTGGAGAATGTCCAGCCTGTCAACATGTTATATTATGTTGACATAATATAACCATATGTCAACATATAGTTATATTAAAAAATATATTTTCAAATGTGCTTTTAAAAAATATTGTATTATTACAATGGTGGAGTTATGTTGTACAACCATGCACAAAATGATATGCGTTTTTAAGGCTAATTCTGATTGCGTGGAATGTGCAAAAAAATAAACAGCATTCACATAATCAAGTGGTCAAATGAAAATTACAGAATATATGAGTGAACAATTAAATGAATAAAGAAAATTATTTTAAAATGATTGTCAAAAAAAGTAATTGGGGAATTTAGACTCCAGGATTACTTCTAAAATTCTGCCAATGGGCCTGAAAGTGCCTCGTATGTAATTCATTCCATGAATGGTGACATTTCATTTGTTAGAGCCTAGAGCTGTCATACACAATAACATTAATGGTTTTAGTGCTGATCTTTTCTTTAAGCTGCATCAATCTTATTTCGTTTAGTTTTTTTGGCCAGTTTGGGGCAAACTCAGACATTTAAGTCCAATATTGACTCTCCTTTTAGCTCTGTTTTTTAGTCTCCACCACCTCCTGGGAAAAATATCTGTCTCTTTAGCTGCTAAATGCTTCATTATGTTCACCAGCTGGTCTCTAACTGTGTCTGTCTGATATTTGGTGCTCAGCAGGTTGAGTACAGTGGCTTTATCAGAACCTTTTAGCTAAAAACAGCTGCCTGCTGCTGCTGGAAAACACATTTGTTTGAAGGCCAAAACAAGCTAAAAGAGGCTAAAAATCTCTGTTGTCTCTTAGCTGCGGCTGAGTGGTGGTGAGGTACAGCAGTGTGTGTACTGGTAGTTCAGTTAGCTGTTAGCCAAACACACCATCCAAAACAACAACAACAACAACAACTACTATTTATTCCCCCACTGTGTCTCAGAGTAGCAGATGGGGGTCGGAGATGCACTTAGCCGTGTTATCACTAGCGGCCCCTCCCAGCCAGGGGCCAGTTAAGCGAGAAGGAGGAGTCAGCAGGCAGTCAGTGGAAGTATAAATCTGTCAATAAAAGGTGTTTTGAGAAAATGTGAGTCAGCGCAAACACAAGAGGCATGCAGCCATAACTGGCCACCGAAAATATGATGCAGTTTACTGCAGCAGAATGAGAGATTAGCCGTAGATAGACACATAGGTGCACACTCACTCACGGACACATGCACGCAGACACGCACATGAACTCCTGGCAGAGATAAAAACTAACATAATGCAATAGTTTATAAAAATGAGCCAAGGAGATACTCCAACTCCTCACCACATGTAAGTGCAGATGTGCACTTACATGTGGTGAGGAGTTGGAGTGTCTCCTTGGCTGACGGCTCCCAGTTTCTCCCCAGAGAGTTTCGTCCCTGGCCAACGGTGCTCAGGACGACAAAGCAGAAGAAAAGAGCATCCAGGAAGCTCCAGTCGGGCTCCATTGCACAGACCAGGAGGGCCGGGAGGAGGAAAAGGAAGACGAGGACGAGCACGGAGAGGAGGCCGACGTGGACGAAGGTGGCCCGGGTGTAGGGCAAACCCCAGTAAGTGTGCAGGTGGTGGACGGGAGCGTGGGTGACCGTGGGGAGGAGGAGGTTGGAGAGGAGGGTGAGGAGCAACAGGGTGAGGGGGATCCCCAGGGCGCAGTAGAAGATACAGAAGAGCTTGGCTTTGTCTGATTTGGGGGTGTAAGAGTCAGAACCTGAGGAAGAAAAGAGGGAAGAGGTCTACAGGGAAGATAGCACGAGTTGTCGCAAATACATTGGTACCCTATAAAGAAGGGATGTGGTACAGATAGACCACAATGTTTTGAAGGTTATTGCTGCAAACATAGCCTGAAAATATTCAAGCAAAAAAAATCAGCAATCCTGGTTGACCAATGTGAGGATTTGCTGCTTTACATCACTGTGATAAATTGTGATCAATATAAAAAGTTGCATCCCTATTTTAAATCTCGGCAGGTTTCTTGAGTGGCATACCCATGGTGGTCAGAGTGACGATGACAAAGTAGAGCGACGACACGAAATCATAGCGTCTCTCATCGGCGTCGGCCTTCAGAACCGCTACGTCGCTCTGGTGAGCGGAGAGAGCGTTCCCCAGCAGCTCGCTCAGCCCGCTCTCTCGGACGCAGGGGTTTTCCCGCAGGAAGGAGCGACGCAGCTCCTCCACCTCGGCCCTCAGCTCCACCTCCACGGGCTTCTCCACCACCGTGAACACCAGACCTCCCAGCAGAATGAAGAGCAGGTAGCAGAGAAGCAGGCAGGCAAACGCATTGACCTGGCAGAACAGTCCCAGCGAAGACACGAGCTGGACCATTGTTGTGTTCCTCTCCAGACTGCAACCAGATACTGAAAGCTAGTTAGGCTTTAAATATTTAGAAAGGTAGAGCGGTTCACCATGGATGGATTACTGAACGGGTCTACTGGGCTAGAGGCCAAGGGGGCCTAAAGTGTCAGGAGCCCCCCTGCCCTTCACAAAATGTCACTCAAAGAGAAACACACCAACCAAGAGACTCAAAATGACCACAAAGAAACACAAAACTACAAAGAGACACAAAACAACCTACACAGGAGATGCAAAACAGCTGCAAAGAGACTCACAATGACTGAGACAGGGCAAAACGACCAGACACAAAAAATCACTAGTGACACCAAAGCAACTACCAAGAGCTTCAAAACAACTACAAAGAGACGCAGAACTACAAAGAGACTCAAAACGACCACAAAGAGACGCA